GAGCCGGGCTGCCAGCCTGCATCCTGCCCCAGATGTCGGCCGATCCTTCCTGCTCGGCAAGGAAGCAGGAGGCCCGTGCCGGAATGGCCTGTTCGGGCCTGTGTGACCCAAAGACAGTGAAGAGTTACTGGTTTGGTTTTTAAAAACAGCTGTAAAATGAGGAGAACTTTGAACACCTGGAGCTGGGGGCGCGGAATTTGTATGTTCCGGTTAGTTCTGTCCTTTTACTGGTGCCTAGGCATGGACTGGTGCTGCTTGGGGAAACTAAACAACAGCAGCGCTTTGCTTTTTGCTCGGGAATAGAACATCAGGCTTCTGAGGATAATTAATTTTCATTTAAGTGCTCTCTGGTGATGAGTATTTGTGACAAAAATTATACATTAAATAAATATGCATTATTCACCAAGATTTTTATATGTAGGATATATCTCCCAGTAAATCTTTTCCCTGTGGGCATGACCGACAGGAGTAGTCCATTTCATGGTTAAAAGCAGTTGGCTTTGAAGTATTTCTACTTACAAGTTTGTTGCAGATATAAAGAATAAAAATCTGTGGACTACTTATAGTAATTGCTTGTTATTCAAGCCAAACACGCTTTTTTTTTTTTTTTTAGAAAAGCTACTATCAGCTTCCTTTTTTAGTTTTGGGGATTTTTTTCCTTCCTCTTTTACAAGGCTTGGAGTAGCCTCATGCGCCTCGTTGAACTTAAAGCTTGATACAGTCTCTCGTATTCCGTAGATGTGACTGCATGAATTGTGGGAAAATCACTGTGTGTGGTGTTACAGGTACTTCGGAATTGCTTGGATGTAGGAGCTGTAGCAGAAACCTAGGAAGTACAGGAAGTGGTGGTGGATGTCTCCTGAATTTCCCTCAGTGCATCCTTCTGGGGATGCTGCTTTTCCACCAGTCCTTGAGCTGGAGCTGCTTCCAAGCAGTCTTGGAAGTGGAGCTTTAGTTTTCCGGCCGCCCGTTGCCGTTGATGGTAAAGGAGTTCTCACAGTCAGAAGGTCCGCAATTCCTTATGCAAAAATGAACATGTAAATTATGCCCCACAGCTAGAAATGGCCTCCACACCTGGGTAAAGACATAACCTGGCATCGGCTGCAGGAGAGGGACGTGGGGAGAGTGTGCCTCTGTCTGCGTGGGCAGAACGGAACTGCAACAAGCTGAAGTTTTGTGCTTTTGGGAGATGTGAACTCAAGGGGTGGTCCTGTTTTTTGAATCTTTTCTAGTTCGTGTGTCTTCCACCTCTGTGCTGAGCAACTTGGTACAACTCAGATTTTAATTGCCTTTGCACAGGAGACCCGAAAGTAAAAAATGATTTGGTGCTAGCTATGCAGTCAAACTTCATTGTCCTTTCAAAATGTCAGAAAGTGTATTACAGTGGAAACGGTGAAAATGAGATCCGTGTTAAGACCAAGATGTATAGTATAGGTTTGCATATAGTATATGTTTGGAATTGTCTTACGGATTTAACCTGATTGTTTGTTAATCTCTTATTACCCTATGTCCAGAGTACAGTCCTAAGTGTTTAATAATACTTCGAATTCTAAGTATTATTATAAGTATAAATTAATAATATAATTTATAATTCTAATGTAATACTTAGAATTATAATTTCTAATAATAAATTTGACTGAAGTAAATTCTTAAAAAATTAAAAATTTCTTCCCATTATCCATAAACAGAAAGAGCTAGCAACTGATGAAGAATGTCCTAAAATGTGTGCTTATAAGCTGGTGACTATCAAATTCAAATGGTGGGGACTGCAGAACAAGGTTGAAAACTTTATACAGAAGGTAAGTGCTGCTCCCTTGCCGGGGCGTTGCTGGCAGGGGGCTGGAAAGGCGGGTGGGGAGGCGTGGTGGTTCTGTGCTGAAGTGGGCTTTTCTGAGCAGAACCAGTGATGAGGTTTCCTGTTGCTCACAGTCAAGCAATTTCTGTTCCTTTCTTCAGCAAGTACAGCCATTTGTGGCTGGATCCACTAGCAATGGTGTTTAATTGGTGGTACTGGAATAACTTTCTAAGTTCAAAAAGCAAAGGCGTAAGCAAAGAGTCTGTCATGTAGGTTTAACACTTGATTTTTAAGTGACAGCACTTGATGGGAAGAGTTCTTTGGTTTTTTTCTAAGTTGAAAGTTGCATAAAACATGCTGGTGTTTGGTATTTTATGTTCTAGTTTTCTTACAAAACTGTTCTTGTGCTTCTGCTAATTCTAAACTATTTGATTTTTTTGGAATTGAATGCTTTTAAAACCAGGTATGATGCAGGTAGAATCCAGTGCACTAGGATTTAGTTGGCAATTGTGGTGTTTTGTCAGTTTACGTCTGCATCTTTGCTTTGTTACTGCTGTATCATCAGAATACGAATTGTCGTTTTAAACGTATGACTAAATATTTAGAATGTAAACTTATGTGTAGGCAAAGTGTTTAATCTAGACCATCGTGCCAGTCCTCTCCAATCCAGAGAAAATGTGCTGTAACAGTGAGTTAACCAAAACATTATCCCAGTAGCAGCTGGCCATGGTGTCTCTTCACAGACAGCCAACACCAGACCTTTCGCGTCGTGGTGACCAGGGCTCTGAGCGCACCACACAGCAAACCGCGTTAAATGCTGATGAATTTCAGTAAATATGATAGCAAAAGAGAAAAGCTTCAAACAATAGTAACTGAAAATGAGATGCACAAGGTAGTTTGTGATGGCCACAGCCCAAAGTAAGGGTAAGGAGACATTGGAGACTCTTCAGTGTGTTGGTGGTTGCTTTGGGAAGGAGTTGCCCATCACACATTCCAAACTGAACTCTGTTAGGGAATAAGCTGAGAAGAGCCAAGACTGGTTCTGTGGTCTGATGAGTATTTGAGGATATGACTTCTCTCTCTTTTTTTTTTTAACCTAGCTTTGCCTGAAGCTGATCCTTTAAAGGAGGTTATCTCTGCTAGTTGTCAAGAACTGTATGTTAGATTTGTTCAGCGTTGGTTTTGAGGGCAGTCAGCAGCTTGAGTGATGCAAAATCTGGGAGCAGATGAACAAGACATGAACTTCAGGTGGCAACCTGGGTCACTGAGCACATGCAGAAGCCTGAGCAGTAGTGAAACCATTTCTGTGTTGTACACACGAGTACTTTTATCAGAGCAGTCGGAAGCAATACTGGCAGTTCTGCAGATCGGGTCATTTGTACAATGCGTCTTTCACCATCCAGATCACCGTTACAAAAGTTGAGGTTCCAGGGCACTAGAGATGGAGTGAGCTGGCAAGTTGCACTTTTCAGCATGACACAGAGGGGTTTTGGGGATGGCAGGTGTTCTGAAATGGGAAACCTACAATTAAAGTAGAAGGAGGTACAGTGAAAAGATTCTTCCTGTGATTGATTCAAAGCCCAGATACATCTACTTCAATGAAAGGGCTGTGGAATCCTTAGCTTGAATATTTATACTCTCAAGGTTTTTTATACTTTGCAGTTGCGTGTCAGATACTACTGGGATGCTGATTTGGTACAAATTGCAAGCGTGCCATCTTTGGAGTCAGAAGTACTTCCCTTTTTGCTTCATTCTGGCTTTAGGAATTGGCCATTCTTGGGTTTTTTTTAACAGAAACAGTTCTGTCGTAGATTTTTGTACAGCTCACACTACTCTAGCTGTTGTGATGCTATGTTTGTTCTGTCTGGTGCTAGAACACCATTCTGTCTTGGAGCTAGAACAGATTTTACAAGGATTCTTCAGCATTTTCAAGTATCATGAATTGCTTACATTTCTCGAAACTTCTTTTTGGTAATGAAATTTGTTCATTTTTTTTCCATGTTAAAGCATGTGAGAAATTAGATAACTTTTAAATTGGCTCCAGGAACGTGAGGGGACTGAACCTGTAGCAGTGTGAATCAGCACACGCCTAAAGGTTATGACTTTTCAAATTGAACAGCTGCAATCACTTCACCAGTCTTTGGCAAAAAGTTAGGCCTGTTATCTAATGTTTGTTCATCTTCTTAAAGCAAGAAAAAAGGATATTTACCAACTTCCATCGTCAGCTGTTCTGTTGGATTGACAAGTGGATTGATCTGACTATGGAAGACATTAGGAGAATGGAGGATGAAACCCAAAAGGAGCTGGAAGCGGTAAGAATCCTTTTTTAAGGTTGATGTTTGTGTGCCATCTACTTGTAGAGTTACCTGTTGAGGAATTGTCGCAAGTGACGTTGTGCCCATCCCCTCGAGCGCGTTTGGGCAGTTGCTGAGGAGCACTGCAGCCCCTTTGGCGGCTCTCCTGTGCAGAGCCATGCGCTTCACGCTTCTGCATGCTGTGTTGTGGCAAGCTGGAAGGGGCTTACGGTCATTATTTCTGATGTCACTTAAATCCAGAATGTCTGCCTTGACCACCTCTTTATTTGTGGTGCCAAGCCCATCGCACAAAGTCCCGTCGAGTGCCTTCTGACCACTTGTCAGTTAGAACTCAGAGCTATCATCTTGCTCTTCTGTCATGTCTTTTGTTTCGTTTCTAATCATCGTTAGGTCCAATTACTTTTTCTCTTCAAAAATGTCTCCAAGTAGGCTTGAATATGTCACATGACAGCTGTTGCACTCATCCTACTTGCAAAAAGGAAGTCAGTAAAATTAGTGGGCTTGAGATGGTGTCAATTTTTGTGCTTTAGTGGCTGTGAGGACCAAATGCACACAGCCGGATCTGTCTTTGGTCTGATGTCTAGAAGGAAACTCATCCATAGGGCACTTTCTCTATTCTTTCCTTGAAGAGGTAGAGGAGCATCACAGGCTGGGCGGGAAGCCTTCTTCTGTAGTGTCTTTCCAGAGCATGACCTTTGGCATGAACCTTTCTCACTTTGGTTTTCTAAGTTCTTTGCAGCCTTTGGATTTGCAATTCTGTTTCCTTCCCATTTGGCCAATTGCTTTATGCCCCAAACCCATTCAGCTTGTCACTTTCCTTCTTTTTTCTTGCTTCTTTCAAGACACAATGTGTCTTCAGCTATACCTTGCTTTTTGGCATGGTTTAACTCCTTTCAGCTGCCAGACATCTTTGAACAGATTGCCTGTGCTTTAGACCTCCTGTTGACAGTGGTTCTGAAGGGCATTTTGTGATTTGTGCCCAGCACATCTTTTCCTTTAATATCAAAACTTGCTGCCCACTTATGCTCCCCACGTTTGGACTTTGAACTGCGTGGAGCCATCTTGCATTGTGTAGAGATGTTTTCTGGATTTGGAAGAAGCGTTTCTTCACTGTTCTGAGTGTAGATGTTCTGAGCTGGTAAAACCAAACTGTCTCTTCAAATGAGCTGAAGGATTTGTCTGCTTTGGCAGTTCCCAGAATATGCTTTGGAAAAGGATGATGTTCACTCGCTCTTGCAAACATTGTGTTCTCTCATTGGCATTTGGACATTTGTGATTATGGCATGTGTTCTCTCAAATCGCTTGGATTTCTTCTTTAATTCTACTTTATGCCAGAACCTATTCCTAGAGCCACCTACATTCCTAGATGTCTGTGGAGGAGAAAGGGTGATCACTTTCTTCTCTATAACTGATTTTTGTCAGAAGGGTTCTCTTTTGCACACCCATAGTGCTTTATTTGGAATTAAACAGACTTCGTGCAGTTTCTCTGAGAAAGGATAGTGGCAGTGTGAGGTGCAGACAAGGTCTGTGTTGGAGAGAGTACAGAGCACTCGACGCATCTGTGAGCATGACAAAATATCCCTTTTCTGTCTCTGTGGACTGTGGATGTTTGTCGTCTTGTAGAGAAAGTTCCGTTCCACATTTCTCACTGGTAAGTATCTTTTTACATATTTTTTGCAAAATATTTGCTGCTTTTTAGTTCTTACCCTAAGCAAAACCCAGATCACATGTTTCTGGGTGTAACATTTATCCTTGTTCTTAAATATCAGACACATTTATTTACTATTTTCTTGTTTTGCAAAGCAATGCAAATATTTATTTCAAATAGCTGCTTGTGTAAGATGTTAGCATCAGGAACTTAAGTGTATTACTTGTTGAAAAAGTCAGATTTTTGCAAGAGAATTGTGTTGATTAGTTACACTAACACAGCTTTTCTATGTGTATTGTGAAATGTGAGAGGAGTGGGGACCTACTGTTAAAATATTTTGGTTTTTCTGAACTGTTATAATAGGGATATCTACAAACACCTATAAATTATGCAGTTTCAAGGTTTTTATGGTGAAGTGCATTATTGGAGAATAACCTAAAGGCAAAAATGTCACTGCCAAATAAAATATGGATATTAATTTTATCCCAAATAATTTGGGTTTATGTTTCATATTCAACTACTTCATCCAGTCTGCTAAGCAGTAACTTTCATTAAATCCCAAGTATATCACAAAACATTAGTTTTATGGCCAGGACCACTAGGAAGCGAGCACGTAGTGATAAGGTGCTCCATATTACAAGGATATCTTCATGTTTCCATCCCTGCAGAGAAATAGTTGGCGTTTTTGTCAGTGTTGCACAATGCAGATCTATGATGCATAAAAACAATTGCAGACAAGCCTAACAGTATGGGCAGCATCTCATTTTCTTACACACGTTGCTTTCTGTTGCTATTCCCTTTCTCATTAACACCCTTTCTTCCTGGTTTGAGCTAATCTTTCTCTTTGAGTTCTGTGCACGTTTTGATTCTTCTGTTGGTCCTGTTCTTCATCTCCAGTCAATTTCTACAGTCAGGATCTCTATTTTTGTTACTTTTGGTTCTGTTTTTTTACTCTCTGAATCCTCATCAGTGTTCTTCCAGAGTTGCTCTATCCCAGCCCATCCTTTTCTCACTGTTTTTCTGTCTTTCACTTAGTGGTTAATGTGTCTGACTCCTGGGGGTGAGGAGCACCTGTGCTTCATTAAGTACACATCAGCTAATCAGTGCATAGTGGAAAAGCATCTGACCCTGCCAAAGCACTGCGACCGACCTACCTCGTGTCTTTGAGGGTAGGAACGCCACGTTGGGTATTTTGAGCAGCGTGGCTCCATGCTGAAGTATCACAGGCTGTTAAAAGTCTAAGCAGCTGCTGTACAGTTCCCAAAAAGAAGCTGTGTATACCTCCATCTCCAAAAAACCTCAGCTGTAGCTGAGGCTGGTTCTGGTTCTGGTCCTGGCCAGGGAAAAGCAGTCCTGGTCATGTAGATCGTTACTTCTCTCTTACTAACCAACAGCACGACAGGTTCTTTATGTGGTAGCTGACAGTTTTATTTTACGTTTAGATGCGTAAGAAGGGTTCCGTTCGAGGCACTTTGGCTGCTGACGTCTAGAGGAGTTCTCTGTAGGTTCTGAGGCAGATCAAGCTGTGTAAGTCAACTGCTGGATGGAAAAGGAGAAAAGTGATTAATGTTCTGATGGATGGGAATTGCTGGCAGAAATCATCTAAATGGAGATGTGTCCAGATAACGCTTCTGGGCCTCACCTCCCTCCTGTTCGATAACCTCGTGGTGATCAACAGCTGGAGGTGCCCCATGGTGTCCGGGGTGCATAAGAGACCTTCTCCACAGATGGGTACTGCAGCGGGCTGGGCGGGTGCTCGGTCCGGCGGCAGCACGCCCGAGGCGTTGGCCACGAGCCCGGGTTCTTTGTGCTTCGCCAGCACAGAAGCCCAAAGTGCGTGACCTGTTGCCACCACTGTGCTGGCGCTGAGCGCTGAAGCCTTTTGGGCACAAATCAGAAGAGTCGGCGAGCGTCACTTTGCTGCGCGCTCAGTAGCGAAGTGGTAGCGGGCATGGTCCGCGTGGTTCAGAACCTGGGCTGCCATCTTCCAAGCATGTTGAGTCCTTGGCATCCGGCTCCACGCAGATGTTTGTTAACACTAAATTGTGTTAAAACTGTCACTGTGGGAAACAGGTTGTCCAGGAGAGGTGCAGGCTGCGGAGTGTTTGTGCCCAGTGCCTCCGTGTCGGAGTTTCCCGCTGCGACTGTGTTAATGCCGCGGGCGGGATCCCCGCAATCCTGCTGAGGATTCGGGATGCCGAGATCCTGCTGAGGAGCGCGAGGCTCCTGGGGCCGGAGTGCTGCCCGCCGGGGAGGACGGCGCCCAAACTAAGACTGCCTGGCACGCCTTGCATTGCTCTGGTTTGCTCGTCCTGGCGGTGGTTTGACTGCCCTGCCCTGTTTTTCTTGGAGATCAATAAACCTGTTTATTTGGAACTTGGTGTTGGAGGAAACTGGTAACGCGTAATTGTGTGTTTTCTTTCTCCACAGCTACGTAACCAAGGCCAAGTCAGAGGAACAAGTGCTGCCAATGATGAATGATGATGGATTTGACCGTCACCTGCAGTGTTGCTATACAAGTGTGTGTGTGGATGCATGATTACTTGTATATAATTCTATATACGCACATGCATACTGAAGGGGGTTGTTACAGTGTCTCCAGGGTACTATACCTGTCCTCAGCAACGATTCCAAGGAACCTGCTTTCACTATGTATACCTGAAGCAAATAAAAATCAACTGAGTAGTGTCATTTAAAGGATGAATTAACTGCAGAATTATGCTAACTGGTATGTTTCATGAATGTCAATACTGGACCAATTTATTCCCTACTTGGTTATTTTTTTCCTGTCTTGAGTCACTCTGCTATAACTCGCCCATATCTCGTTGTAAAGAAAGAGATCCCAATAAGTTAATTTAGTTTTGTGTCTCCCCTATGTGATTATTTTTTGAATAGGAACAATGAATGTATTTATAGCTATTTATTTCTGGACTGTCATTATCCTATAGTCAAATCAGAAAAAAAAATTTTAATAGTGGAAATTGGAAAACACTTACTGTCAAATAAGTTTAACCCAAACTTTACCCATTCACTGATTTAAAAGAAACAAAAAACCCATGTTTTATTGGACTTTTGTACATTGAAATGCTAATGTTTTTTCTTCATTAAAATTGGCAAGATTAAGGAAAAATGGCTTGTGATTTATAAAATAATTGCAACTTGAAATTTTCCAGAAGCTGGCTATTTAGGCAAAGGTACTGACAATACTCATAGAATATTTAAAGTATGTCTTAGGCCGTGCAGTAGAAGTGAAGGGGGATGATAGCCCTTCCCCAGAGTAATACTTCCTGTTAATTGCAATTTTCCAGAGTTTCACTTTGGAAGCTATGCAAATGGTCTTGATTTCACACACATTACGCAATGGAGTATAATTGTGATTTTAGCTCTTTTCATGTTGAAAATACACTTTAAAAGAGATGTATACTTTCAGATACGATGAAAGTTTAAATTGTAGCATCTGACGTATTGCTCTGATATTTGTCAGGAGTAGACACACAAAAGAAATTTGGTATAATAAAGACCTCCTGTAGATAGCTCTCAAATAGGGAAGATGTCTTCAGCATTTTTTAAGGAAACATTCGGAGCATATCGTAGGTATATATTATCAAAACGCTTGCTAGATCAGAAACAAATGATTTTAAAAGCACTAGTTAGGTAAAGTTCTGTTAATGCCTGGTTTCCTCCCAGCATCCCTAGAAACCTCGGTGGGGCAAGCCTTGCTTAAGCTTCTGTCTTCATAACCTCACATTCATCCAAGTATTCTGGAATCATTTTGGACCTACCTGGGGGCTACACAAGGAGTGACCTGATTTCCATTACGGGCAGTGACAAAATTTTCCTAAGCTTCCAGGGCGGGCCGGGCTGCCGGTGCGCCTGCCTGCTGCGAGCGCCGGACGCGTCTGCCGGGGCATTTGTACCTCTGCTGTGTGATCTCATCCTCCTACCCTCTGTGCTGCAAATTTATTTTTTTTTCCTCCTTTCTGGGTTAGCAGGTACACGGTTATTTGTGCTCTACCATCAGGAGGTTGGTTTTGTAAATACGCACGGAGACATGCACAGACACACGCGCACACGTCTGATTTTAAGTGTGTGCAGCCGGGGGGGCTGCTGCGACCTGGGAGCCCGCGGGCTCGGTTCCCTTGGGTGCTGGAACACGCGTCCTGCTGTCGTTAATGGGAGTCATAGCGCAAACTGAGGGAAAGGGACCCTACAGCTTTCTTTTTTTTTGGACTAGTTGTGAAAATCAGAGAATCTTGTAGTGAATGTAAAATGTTTAGTTTACTTTGGCAGTCTCTGGTGTGACCTACAGTAAAACAGTCTATGAAAATTAAATAAATTTGATCATAAAATGCTCTGTCTCTTGTCTTAGGTGTTAGTATTTGCAGTTTGCTGATGAGCTGGCATTCGGTTTGTTGAGCTGCACGAGGTTGGAAGCCCGCTAAGGACGCGCTCCAGTGGCGGAGCGCTGAAACCTGGGTTCCAGTTAGTAGCAATCGGGGAGGGAAGGGCTTGTTCGGATTTTTGTTTTATTCTAGGATTCCAAGCCGAGCAACACAGACTTAGCTGGACCTTTGCTGCTGTCTGGAGTAGGGAGGCGTTGTGCTGCTGTGGTGTATGGCGGCTGCGTGCCTGGACGTGCCGGCCCCGCGGGTTTGCAGTGGCTCTGGGCTCTCTGCGGCTGTCGTGTTACAGCTGCTGCTCGCTCCACATCTGGCCCGTGCTGCAGAGAGGACGGGTGGTGTAAGCAGGAGGCTGCCGCGCGGCCGGGTTGGCCTTCAGGGACGGAGCCGTGGGAGTCGCCCTGCCCGGCGCAGGCTGGTTCCCAAAGCGCGGCTCCTTCGGACTGAGGCAGCGAACAACCGCTCCTGCAGAACACCTGGGGAAGCGGCACGGTCGTTCGTGGGTCTCTTGGCCAGGATGTCTGGGACGCATTTGAAGTTGGGGTAAGATGGTGTGAGTACAGAATATGTAGGTGTGGGGGAACAGTTGGGCCATTCCAGGCCTGTTTAGTCATGTCAATGACACGCAAAGCTTCAGAACAGACTTCTGGAGAAATAATTAGGAATGGAATAAGTACTATAAAATTAACAGAGGTGGCTGCAGTAGGTTGCACCGGATGATTGCATTATGTACCAGAAGAATAAAGAGGTGTATTTGACTGGGAGAGGTGAAGCTGCTCAGAGCAACAAGGACGGGAGAAGGGGGCTGTGGGCAGTGGGTGCCTCCCGAGCAGCGCCCGGTGCCGGGGGGTGCTGATGAGGATGGTGGTGTTGCTCCCTGGCTGGTCCCATCCTCCATCCCCATCACTCTCACCTGCCCGGCCAGCGCCGGCAGCTGCCTTTGCTTCGGGGACCGGTGGCTTCCAGGCATGTGCGGGAGGGCAGCGCGGTGGGCTCTGTCGGAGGCAGGCGCTGCTTGAGCTGAGAAGGGCTGGTGGAGGGGCGCTGGCCGTCCCTGGCTGCGGCGCTGGTCGGACACGTCTCCTGGTGCGGTACGTGGTGCCGAGGCAGGAGCGGAGCTGGCTGACGCTGGCTGAAACCATTGAGAAAGGAAACGCCACGTCCTCGGGCTGTGTCTGGCCACACAGCACAGCCTGGCACACGAGCGGAGCCGCGCCGCTCCGATGGGATCCGGCTCTGCGGGCGGGAAGAGTCTCCCACCAACGCGGTCTGGGCTGCTCTCCATGGTGCGGTACGTGGTGCCGAGGCAGGAGCGGAGCTGGCTGACGCTGGCTGAAACCATTGAGAAAGGAAACGCCACGTCCTCGGGCTGTGTCTGGCCACACAGCACAGCCTGGCACACGAGCGGAGCCGCGCCGCTCCGATGGGATCCGGCTCTGCGGGCGGGAAGAGTCTCCCACCAACGCGGTCTGGGCTGCTCTCCAGTTCGGGCCGATGCTGCCGCGTGAGATGGGTTCTCTGAGGGGCCGCCTGGCGCGGCTGAGCCCCGCGGCGGCGTGAAGTGCCCTCCCGGGGCACGGCTCGGCTCCGCGGGCACATCGCTGCCTGCTGAGTGTGTCAGCGCCCGCTGTAAGTTGAAACTTGTACGGCTCCTTCTGATAAATGCAAAAATGAGTTCTTTTTTCTACCACACAGCTTGTTTAGCTTCCAGATGGCAAACCAACATGAAGTAATGGAAGTGCAACACAGTTTTGTTATAATGGATATGTAAACGTGATATTTATTCACTGCAATAGACTGCTGTGAACCATATTCCAGCAGTAACCTTTTAAATCCATCACTTGGCTGCACATAAGTGTGGTCTGAAAGGGATTTGTAAGGCGTTTGGTTTTTTTCTGGAGGATTTTTTCTAATCATTGAAAAAAAGGGAACGTTTTCTGTCTTTTGCCTTCATGTGTGGACTGGGAAATGTCAGAAAAAAATCTGCTGAGGTTTGTGTTTTGGGATTTCAGGTGCGTTGGGTTTTTTCACCCTAACACCTTTCTGAGCAGTCTGAAAACGTCTCTGATAAGACAACCCCCTATCAATTTCCCAAAACTCATTTGATTCAGCCATTTTTAGGAGCTACATCGCATACTTGGAAGTGCTCTTGTTCCTCTGTGTCGCATGCCGCTGGCAGGAGCGAGCACAGTCAGGTCCTCGGCTGTTCCCACCGTTCTGGGATTCCTGACTCCGGCATCATCCATTTCGCCATGTCCGTCACTGCCAAATCTGCATTTCTGGAGGTGAGCACCTGTGCATAAAGTCGTTCTTCCTCGTCACTCCACGGAACAACACTTCCACCGTTTCCAGGAACAAACGGGGCAGGCGTCCCCCTTGTGCGAAGGTGCCGAGCGCGCCGAGGTGATCTCCCCGCGGGACCAAGTCCGCTCTGGTCTCTATGAAGACCGGTGGGGGTTAGTGCCAGGCTACCTGGGAGCCGTGTCATTTCTCCTCATTTTTAGCTTCTTAGGCAGGAAGGCGGGTGCCACGTCTCCTGCAGTGAAACGCCATGGCGCTCTCTCTTCCTTTGGCCACTACGTTTGTTTGGCAGGATCCGAGGCCGGGCGTGGTTTGGACGGGGGACCGCTGGTGTCGAGCTCTGGTGCAGACGGCGGTCAATGCTTTTGGTCTGATGCTTCATGTCTGCAGCAACAACTACAGCAGCCGTAACGCAAGAGAACCGAGTTCATGTTCTCATCAAATTCTCAATCAAAGCGAACGCTGCGCCCCTCGGAACGTTACTGCGGCGAGGCCAGTCCTCAGCGTAAGCAAGGGCTTGGGCAGAAATGGTTATTTTTAACGTGCCCTTGCAAAACCGCCAGCTACGCGCTATCGCTGCCTACGGCCCGGGGCCGTGGCCCTGACCTCACGCTGCAGTGAGAAACAGACATGGAGGGACGGGGTGAGGGTGCGAAACACTGAGCTGACAAATGCTGAGCAAGAAAGAAAACCCCCAGCATTTAATTAACCTTCAGGAAAAAACAGCTCCAAACGAGCCGCTGCCTTCTGGCTGCCGCCCCTGCCTGGCATGTCCCAGGGGAGCCAGATCCAGCTGCCCCTTCCCCGTATCCCCCTGCCTGTGTGTCCGACACCACCCGGCACTTTGTGCAGCCCCACTTGTGGTTCAGCCCGCAGTCCTGGGGCAACAGACGTGTGAGCTGAGCTGCCCACGTTCGCTCGAGGAACGGAGGGGTATCCCAGAATGTGTATTTGCAGAGAAATCCGTACCTGCCCGCTATCCCCGTCGGACGGTGCCGCTGGGGACCAGGCGTGAGCCGGGCAC